AGTAATCAGACTTAAAAGTTCATTGGAATAATGCAGTATGGACACAGACGGAGATTGGATGAGGTGCCAAAAAGGAGTAACCATTCTCTTTCGATCAGTCACATCCGCCATGTGCTGCTCTTGATCTTGATCTAGGAAACGGAAAAATTCCTAAAAATTTCTGTGTATGTGCTGTTTGACGTAAATTCTTTCTGATTAGGAGAAAGTTAAGACGTGTTCAATTTGTTGTTGCCGCAGACCATCCCCCACCCATTAGCTTTATTTCTATAAAATCGATCAGTAAATGAGAAAAAAATTTATGATAAATCAATACATGGAATTTGTAATTATGTCACTAAATATTTCCAAAACTAACAGAAAATGTATGTTGTATTTCATCAATGAATTTAGATGGAAAAACCACGCCAATTAAAACATCCCAAGAAGATAACTTTGATTAATGGAAAAAGGTGCGCAAGTTCGTAAAAATTGCCATTCCGAAATTGTCCATCCCACTGTTATATCAGTTTCCTCCGAGTCGTTAAAATAAATAAGTTCTCTGCATGAAACATTCAAATATTTGCATGAATGACTAAAATATCTTTGCATGTTTTAAATGTAATTTCGTGTAGAAAGATTTTTCATTGAAATGTTTAATTTCCGTTAAAAATACAATATTTCTCGCTTTACTGGGAGGGTTACACTAGCAAAATGACAGAACAAAAATACACACAATGGACACAGCGGCCACAAGTCATAAAAATACGTCACTTGAATGATGCATGTTGGTGAAAAATAAGAAAAATATATTTTTATTTTTATTTTAATAATAAACACTCGTAGAATAATAGGAAACATCTTCAAATTCAATTCTTAACTCTATGAATTTGCGTAGATGGCTGACCAGAGAAAGCATGCATCAAGAATATAGCCCACAAGTGAATGATAGATTTAAAAAAAACTAGATATGGTTTTGTATAGAGTAAAAGATTTCACATATCGTTCATGATGATTATTTTACTGCTACAAAATGAAAATATCAGCAGTTTGCCTTCTTGTCTACAGTAACTTGAAAACCATGTTCTCGGTAATATACACTTCAAAATTTCTGAAACTCATGAATTTTAATATGAAATTGCATTTAATTGTTCCCCTATTGAATAAATGTTTTTACGGAATGGATTAGCTCTTGAAAATTAATACCGAAGCTGCAAATTTTAAGAATCAATATGATATATGCTGGAATATAAAAAAAGAAACATTAATATACATGAAGAGATTTTCAATTTGACGTGGTTTAAAACTTGTAAGTGGAGAAAAGAACAATTTAAGAGCTTTACCGAGTATTTAAGTGTAAAATTTTGTTTAAATTGCATTCTGTCTTAAATGTACACATGCACTGCTGTTTTAAATTTGATTCTAAATTATACTTGACCCAGTGCCTTCCAATTTCGCAACAGAATTGTCAAAGGTACTGGTAAAGCTTTCTCATTGCAGTGGCTTTAAAAAGGAATGAACATTATAAGTCATTTAAAGTCATCTAAAGATACATCTCATCTCTGGCGTTTTTCATACTAATTATTAGACCATTATTTACACACTGAATTGTCGAAAGTTTTGTCTGTTATTTCACGATCTATTTACGATCACACACCAGGTGTGACCCATAGGAAGGGAATGCCCACTCCTCCATGGAACCTGATCCCACCTTATGTTTTCGAGGTCCGTATTTCCTCTGCTCCTTTTTGTATTATTTAATGGACTTTTGAGCTTGAATACTATTCGTTATCTCCGTATATTTCATTCAAGCTCATAAGCGATTTCAAACAATGCAAATCATGGACAGAACAAACACAGAGCTCTAAAACATCAGGGATCAGGCGCCATAGAGGAGTGACATTCCATGCCAACACGCCGTGTGCTCTTTGTCATAATCGGGATATAACGTGAAATCCGTCTAAAGTACAGTTTATAAATTAATGGCATAACAATCAGTATGAAAAATTTCAGTCAGCTTTTTTCTTAATAATTAGACTTTGTTTACTGTCAAGGTCATTGTATCTGCCACAGATATCTCGAAATCATGGCTTTTAACACTGTTTAACGAATCTCCTGATTTTCTTGTTTGTATTTATGTTATAAATAGACTTTAATTCTTTTTTCTAAAATGAAATTGTTTTACAATGTCAATTTATTTATTTTGCAAGATAACAAGTTATAGATATAAATTCAAAGATTAAGATGCACAGACACACACACATACACAGGCTCCTTACAATGCAGTGCAACATTAAGAATATTATTGGAAAAAAAGAACCAATAAAGATTATGTAAATGATTTGTGTAATTAAAACCACGTCATCCTAATAAGCTTTTATATCAGATTTACATGCATTTGCATGTATTGCCTTACCATATCTCTTTGAACTCACTTTGTTCTTTTTTTTGGAAGACTGTGCTTTTCCTGCCTTGTCATAATTCATGATTCTGGATTTCTGATGACCGGACCCAAAAAATATCGAACCATGGTCTCAGATTAAAACAAAAATCCAAAGTAAAATTAGAATTAGTCACTGAGTTGACATGAAAACAAATTATGCACAAAGCCAACGCGGATGTTTGAGAATAAAGGTTTAAACAAGAACTATTAAGAGTAAGCATTCTTTATCGATGTGTTCTCGTAGGCAAAATCATTTTCGTTGTCAAAAACAAAAAATGAATGCTGTATGATCACTTCATTAACTTTATTCATTTCATCTTTCAAAGAAAAAAAAAACAGCGTATCATTTAATTTACAATTAACAAAAATGTAGAAAAATGATTTTTAAAATTTTTTTTTCAGATAAAGCCTACACAAAAAACTACATATACATCAAAAGTAGAAAATACACTTGGCAAGAAGCTCAAGAAGTGTGTGCTAGTTTGAATGGTTCTCTTGTAAACCTGGACAGCTGGGAGATGTTTGTTAGAATGCGTAGACTTCAAAAAAGCTCAATGTTCTGGGATAATGTACCGTAAGTTAATGGGTAGTTTGTTTATTCTTTACATATTTCTGAAATAACATGTCAATGAATTTCTTTTTAAATGTACATATAGATATAATAGTAATTCTTAACATCAGAAAATTACTTGAAGGAATATATATATATATATATATATATATATATATATATATATATATATATATATATATATATATATATATATATATATATATATATATATATATATATATATATATATATATATATATAATAATTTATATATATATATATATATATATATATATATATATATATATATATATATATATATGAACGAATTAATAGTAAAAATACTTTGATTTACTAATGTAAAACTTAGTTTACTAGATATGATTAACTATAATGGTACTGTTTGTTAGGGAATTTTTTGCACATGCGTCAACACCTGTCAGTTAAGGCTGAAAATTTAGATCCATAATCGGTATTCAATGAGCACTAAGGAAGTTTTACAGCGACATGGGACCTAATATGGTCTCAACCAAAATAAAAGGTCTCCATGCGCAGCAGTTCAATTATATCCAGTACACATTCTAACCATTGCACCACGCGGGCGTTGTAAATCTAATGGATTAAAGTACGATTGTAGATCTGAAAAAAAATTAGAACCGATGAAAATGAAAAATAATTCTCATATATTTTTTTACTGTATATAGAGCATGCTCTACGTATGTACAATTTCTAAAAAGAGGTAAATTATTGACAAACAAGTTGATTAAACAAGGATTTCAGCAGTCTCGTTTTAAGTCGTCATTTCGTAAGTCTATGGTCGATACAATGGTTTTGTCAGTAAATACAATTTACTATTGAGTCAAATGCTGACCGACAGTTTGCATACTAATTGATCCTCCATTATTTACACTCTGAATTTACAATTTTTTCCCCGTTATTTTCCGATCATGACAAGAAGCACATGGTGGATTTAAAAAGGACTACATTTTATTGAATAAACACATTAGAATAAAGTACTATATATATTTTTTTTTCTCAAGTGCATAATTAAGGATAAACCTTGCTTTAAACATTTTATATTCAAGAAAAATAGTATGATTTTTTTCATTTTTTTTTTACTTATATTAATGATTTGAGTATTATGATATCATTTGAATAAGATTTTGATATTAATTTTAAAGCTTACCCAGGTTGGTAGAAATATAGAAAAATAATAATCCTTTAATTGTCCTTTTTATTTCAGGCACGACTATGCCTGGATCGGTTTGACCAATACAGCCTCTGGCATGGAATGGCAGGATTGTACACCATTCAATTTTTCAACATTTGTTTACTTTAAAGATTCTAATCACATGTATTTCGATTCCAGCAAACAATGCTACAAAACTAAACCAGATCTAGATTTTAAGTATGAACAAAAGGAATGTGATGAAGACAATGGCGCTATATGTGAACAGCGAATTGAAGGCAAGTATATCGGGGATCTAGGAAAAGTTGCTTCATATCCGTAGAAAATTATTTTTAAGCTGCTACGTTTTGTAAAAACGATGCTAGATAGGTAAAGTTTTGAATTGCCATTCAGGGTTAGATTTTAAAGCAAGAAATATTGCAATTGTATTCATCTGAGAGGTATGAAAAATATTCAATTTTATTTCGTTTTCAACTTTTATTTGTTAAATATTGCAGTTAAGGGCAAAAGAGTTCCTTTGGTAATGCAATAAACTATTTTGTTATAGTAATAGGCGAATTTTTGAATTGACATACTGCATACAGGGAAATTTCGGCCCCCGGTTTTTTCGCCCCTTTCGCCCTATCCTCATTTGGAAAAGCTTAAACAGGGGCTTAATTGTTTGCTAGTGTGAAAGGGCAAATTAAGACGGCCCGAAAATAACCGTGTATACAGTATTACCCACGTGCTTAGCTTCAAAAAATAAAATTGATTAAAAGCTCTCCAAGTTTAAGATGCTTCCATTTACGTTTAAGTAACAAATGTATTTAACTTAATTTTTTTTATTTATTTAGGCAACACTTGTCCAATGAGTGATTTGTTGTCGCTAGAACTTAGAGGTGTTGAATCCAGTAATAAGGCAGATTGCAAGAGAACCTGCGAGAGTGACATCGATTGCTATGCTATTGTTTCATACTCAAGTAACAATTGCTTATTGTTGAAAACTAAGGAAGGTAATGGACAAGAGGTCAACATTGCCATTCGTCAGTGTATAAGTGGTATGTAGTTAAAGTCTTAAAGGATTTAAGCTAGGGCTACGCAAAATTTGTGCTTATTTCAAAGGTGGGACGGAATTTTTGAAAATATATTTTCACGAGTGTAAGGCACCAATGAAAATATAGTAAAAAAAATCCTGTCTCTCGAAAGAAAATCTATCAAATTCAACTATCGATGAAACGATGGGTTTTCTGTTCTAGATAATTTCTTTGATTTTCCTTTTGCATTTGTCTAACTTTAATTAAGAATCTCTAACTTGGCTTGTGAAGGTAGGAGTTAACTATTTGTGGATATGGATAATGAAGTTTGCTTTTCTTTTTAAGGTGAAGTAAAGCAGGAAAGTGACGTCATAACCCCTACACCGGTAAAAGATCAGAACGTTGTTCTAGACTGTTCAAATACAGCAAGTTAGCATGTTACTTTTTCATATAATCATTTTAATTCGCTAGGGTCAATATTAATTTTTGCATATAAACAATTACTGCTTCGATGGAACATATTTACCTGCGTAGCGTATATGTACTGGAGAATTAATTTTATGAACCAATATAAAATGATTTTTCGTAGGAAACGGTGATACAGGAAAACCACAAACATTGAAATATCCCAAGATCATTGATAATTCCACAGTATATGCCTTTATCTTCTTAACTGTAAAGCTCAGTACTTGTAACATAGACAAGAACTTGCTAACTTTTCGACCATATGACCCATACGTTTATAGTTATATATATATATATATATATATATATATATATATATATATATATATATATATATATATATATATATATATATATATATATATACATAAAAATGATTTAATGTAAAAGAAATATCGCACTATATAAAAAAAGCAATTACAGAAAAAAATATTAAATCAAAACGTAAGAAAATTTTCTTTTGGCTTTTACAAGATATTTACGGAAGACATTTTAAAAACCATTTTAAAAATGTTTTACCTTTAAACTCCTAGGTCAATGTCAAAGGGTAAAAGTTTTTTGTTTCTAAAGAAAGGTCTTGTCACAAGAATTACATATTTGAAGTGAAAGCCTTAGCTTTGACCGTTCAAAAGTTTTGGCCAAGGTTAAAGTTTTTAAAAAGAAGGTCAAATTCCTAGATCATGATCAAGGTCAAAGGGTCATAGATGTTGGTATTCTAGGAAAAGTTCTGTTACATATATGAAGTATAAAGCCCTAGCCCTTACCGTTAAAAAGTTATGGCTAAGGTTTAAGTTTTTTAAAAGTAGGTCAATCTACCTTAACAAAAATACTTTTTTTAATTAACAATAGTTTATTTCTCAAGTTATTTTGATTATTTAACTCTTTTAAGGAATTCGATTTGGGGTTTCCTGGGGCTGGTTTAGTTGCACATCTTAATTTAAATTTATTAAGTAACTCATTCAAATGCAATATTTACATTAAAAAAACCCTCTTGACTGAAGCAAATCTTTTGGTTTAAATGCTGTAAATTTTATGTTTCATTATTTAAGTTTACTTTTTCTATAAATAAAACGTAGGTTATATCTGCATTACATTAAATAAAATAGATTTAAATAAATATCACTTATTTATCGGCGAAAGAGACAACCTCTACATTAAAATTAATTTCTTTTACATTATTTAAAAAGTTCTCTGAAGCTGTAATGAATCTTAGCCTTGAATTATCATAAAATGTACATAGTGGGAATCAAAAACATAATTTCACGAGTTTTATACTTCCTTATCAAAGTTCCAACGTTTTAACTACAATAAATCAAAGTTCCAAGTTATCACTATAGTAAATAAAAGTTCCAAAGTTTTCACTATAGTAAATCAAAGTTCCCAAGTCTTAACGTTAGTAAATTAAAGTTCCAAAGTTTTCACGTTAGTAATTCAAAGTTTCAAAGTTTTTAACTTGCTACTATAGTTAATTATAGTAAATAATAGTTAAGTATAGTTATTATAGTATTTTTTGTAAGGATACCAAGGTCAGAGTCAAAGGATCAGAGTTGAAATCCAGTGAAGGGTCTTGTCACACGAATACATATGAGAAGTATGAAAGTCCTAGCACAAACAGCTTAAAAGTTATGGCCTAAGTTAAAGTGTGGTAAATTTTTTTTCTTAAATTAGGTCAAACTCCAAGGTCAAGAGGTCAACGTTGTTGGTATCCAAACAAAGATCTCCCCACTCATAAGTTAAAGGCAAGGATAAAGATTTTGTGGCCAAACAGACAGACGAGGCAAAACATATGTACCCCCGAAACTTTTACGATGACATAAAAACATTTATTTCCTATGTAGCTTGTAACACGAGTGTTGATTGGTTACAGGGTTAGGTATAAATTTTTGTGCACCCGACATCTCGAAATCTTATCGAAAGGTTGAGACACAGTTGATTGGAATTATGTTTTCAAAGAATTTATTTGGGTACAAGGGAAATAAAATCGTTACCAGGTCCAATCAAGGGTGAATGGGGAATTACCACGGGTGTATGGAATAAAACCCGGGGTAAATCCCCGTAAACCCTTGATGGTACCTGCATAAGTAATAGTACATATCTTAGTTAATTATTTAGAATAGAGAAAAATAATTCCTTTTCAAGTTAATCCATATATATCACTGAATGATATTGCAAATTGTTCAATTTTTACAGAAAACCCGATAGCGTCAGCTTCTCTTTCCTATGTGTATTTGCCAATTAGCTGCTACAACTATTCAACTGTGGAAAATGTTACCATCGTGGAAAGCACTACAGTAACACAGAACGTCACAATAACAGATGAGGTCACACAATCTGTAGAAGTCACACTCACTGTAAATTTTACCATGACGGAAAATGTCAACATAACAGATTATGTCATAGTAAAAGAAAACGTCACAAGGACAGAAAACGTCACAGTGACGCAATATATTGAAAGGACAGAATACGTCACAGAAAACGCGGTTACAGCAATCGTGACTTCTTTTGCTCCCTACACAGTTACTGTACAAGTGCCTATTACTCCATTACCATCTGCTTGTGAAGATCAAACGTCTTACATAAATACTTCAAACACTCGTTATATAGAGGAGGCGGTGCAGAATATTTCTAAAGCATTATACATGGATAAAAAGACGACTAATTCTTACATACGAACAAAAACAAGTGCACAGGATAATCGACCGTCTTCAGTGACGATGGGATACGTAGGTATCGTGTGTGTGGTTGTGCCGTTAGTTCTAATTCTGTTGTCGGATTTAAAAACGATTTATGTTCATATGTCGGCTGTATGCAGGAGTTATAATGGACCACCATCCCCGCCAGCATGACAATGTGGGCTGGATGGATTTGGACTTTATTTTTTTTACTCATTGAAGCCTTTGCTCACCCTTGCACAATTTATATAGAGACAAAGGGATCACGAATGCGTTGCATGCAACATATTTCTCCATAATCCTTGATGGTTCTGACATTGAACACTATTTTTTTATATGTGCAGGGGAGTGGCAGATTCTGTGTTATACTAAGAAAAAACTAGAATTCTATTTTACATGCTGGTGTGGCGATTTTTCTTTCCTTGTTTGTCTTTTAATCAGAGGCCACGGTTAAGTTGAGTGTTACTGGTCGACATTGGATGCTCACTCCTCCATGGCACCTGATCCTATCTCTGATGTTTTAGACGTGTGTTTTCTCTACACTTGATATGTATTGCTTGAATGGACTTTCGATCTTGAATACTGTTTGTTACCTCCATATATAACACACTACATTCATCGGGCGTCATTGCAGAATTTTTGACATGAAAAGAGACACAAATACGTCGTGTTTCAGTATTTGCTAACCCTTCAAGTTTTTATTATTGTAAGATTTGAAAGATGGAGGACTGCTGGTTGCGTGCCCTTGCCCATAACCTTTTTACATATACTGTAGTATATTAAGACGCAAACTGTAAATACCCCCAAAAAAAAAAAGATAACAAAAATACACGTTTTACAATTTTATTCAAGATGTCATAAAATGAGAACAATACCATGTATTTACATTGAATTTACATAAAACAGTGCAAAATGTTATAGAACGCAATTTCTTGGAGTGACCAGATTTTAAATCGAACATGAAAAAAAAGGTAATAAAGTGCCATGGTTACATAAGAGATAATTTTCTTTTTCCAGGCAGATGTGTCTTGTGAAAGGTTCACCGTTGTAGAATGTACTGTCTTTTAAACCCCCCAAAAAAATCTTTTAAAAGAATAATATTTATATTATAAATAGTTTGATGAATATCAAAACTATTCAAGTTATTTCGTTCGTTTTGTTTTACCTAAACTAAGCCAACACAAGCAATAACTGAAGTTTTAACCAAAACAATTAATTTTTTCTCTGTAATTGCCTTTTGTATTTTAAGTTGTAATGAATCATAGGCATACTGCTTTCCATCCGGTGATCTTAGGACCAGTTTCCTACACGAGTTTATTACTTGCTGTCACCAATTCTCATATGGCAACAAAGGAAGTCTCTTTCTTCAATTTTGTTGAAGAACACAACACAGTAAATTTCTTCACAAGCTGATTCCCAGCTTCAACCATTTTCGAGGATCTAGATTCCTCAATTAAATGATTTTAACATACATTTAAATATATTTACAAAGTGTCATGACAACAATAAAATTACAACTTGTATATTCCAAAATAATTTTTTATCACCGAGGATTTATCCAGAAACTTGTGTCCACTCTGAGACAGCGGGCTGGCAATACGATAATCCTTCTGCAACTCGAACACTCCCGCAAGAAAATTTGTATGATGTCTATCAGATTCAGGCGACCCCCCAAATTTACTGAAAATGAGGTCAACATCGCCTGTCTTAGGCAACATAGGGTGATATTTAATAATACTTTGATACAGAGTTTCAACAGTGTCCTGACCAGTGTGATCAAACGTAGTGGAGCTGTATATGAAATAGATGCCACCTTTTTTGATGCGCATGTGCGTTCCGTTCATCAGTTCAATATCGTGTGCAAATGCGGTACCATACGAATCGTCAGTTATCCACCGCAATTTGTTTTCTGCAATAGAGAATCCTTGGGTAAATACTTTAAGTACTTAATATGTATAATAAAATACATCAGTTCTGTATTGTTTTATCATTTTTTCTTATTTATGACGAACATAAATTGCATCTTTTTTTCTAACAAACACTTTTAAAATGAAAAATGCATAATTAATTAATCATTGATTTTGTTATATTTCCTAGAGTGAGTTACATGTAAGTACTTTAGTAAATAATCGATGAATCTGAATGTCTTTTTTTTTAATGTTGACAAAATAATCACTGACCCTTTGTAACGGAGTTATCCCTGTCCAGATAAAGGTGAGCGGAGTGGGGTCTATTTCTCCACCAGGTGAACGAGTCCCGGATCGAGGAATTATTACCTGAAAAAATAACATTTATAGATAAGTTTGGTGACAAAAGTTTATCCATATCTTTTTCTTTTTATATTTTTTTTTCAATAATCTATTGAAATTAATCTCAAATAAACGTCCGTAAAGACATGCTCTAGAATTCTTATAGATTAGTCTTTTTGAAATGAAATCATTGAACCTCCAATGAAGACATTTATTTAAAAATACTGGATGTTTAATTTTAACTTCTGTTTAATTAATTAATATGTTTTTATTAGAACTTCAGAAACTGTTAAATTAGCTCTTCGATAATGAATGTAGAGTTGTTAGGTTTAAGAATTTTACATAGGCCTCACCTTTGTCATTGTTCTGATTTAGTGTCTGAAAAAGAAGGAAAAACCTAGGTTTGAAAACGAAAGTAAAAATGCAACCTTAACTTTCCCAATTCATTTTTTAAACATTCCTTCTAAAAATAGGTCACAGTAATGTTGTTATAATCACTTACCGCTTGTACAAAATCATGAATCACACTGTTTTTAATGCAGCATAACTTGTGTTGACAATCAGTTGTAACAATTTTGTCGTACAGTGTCTCATTCACACTTACACTGTTTCCCAAATAGTCACACGAAAAACAAACCGAGTCTTTTGTTTGTAACTCCCCATCACCGCTTACATTCCCGATAATTTCCTGTTGGAGAGTGTCGGTTTTAAACCGAAAGTAGGCCCCAACATTCTCCCAGTTTAATGCGAGTAAAAATCCGAATACTATCGCTAATAGTAAATTTATCACACAGGAAATTATCACTATGATTTTACAAACTTGTCCTGAGTTATTCATTTTCAATATCTTTTGAAAAATTCACTCCCGTTAGCTGTACGTGTTTCTTCTTTATATGTTGTTTCGTGAATGTGGGTTTTTCCATTCCGTGTAGAATTAGCCCACTCTATTTATAAACGTCCACAGATAATTGAGTTTCCAGGGTTACTGTCGAGGATTCAGGAAAAACGTAGGAAGTAGTTCAAAAAAGTCTATTATATAATTAATGTTATATATGCTTGTATGAATGATGTATTTTTTTTTTTTTATTTTGGAAAATTGAGATGTATTTTTAAAAATGATAATGAACTTACGACTGTACGAGGGTTGTCCGTAAAGTTCGTGGACAAGCAAAAATTCAGATTAAAATGGTGTCATTGATATTTCTTATTAACATATTTATAATCCTTTAGTAAATGTGAACTACAAAATTTAAGATTATATTCAAAATCAAATATACAATTTCAATTATGGCTTCATTATTAGAATGTGGATGAGGACCCGGAGCACTGCAAATTGTTAATCAAAATGTTATTTATCACTTTATAATTTTCATTTGTATTTGGCAAATTCCGCGGAAATTTGGATTGCTTTAACATCATGAGGTTGACGAGAGTTATTACTTCAAACCTGCCAAATTTGAACGTTCAAAGTTTAGAAATGATTTAGATATCGAGGTTAGAATCTATTAAGACGGGATCGGCATTGTTTGAAATAGGGACGTTTTCGGAAAAGGTGGAGCAGAGAGCAGTGATTAAATTCTGCTGAGACATCGGAACAACACCAACAGAAACCCATAAATGATTTAAACAGTCGGGAAAATATAGTAAATGAAGCCGTTCTTAAGTATTTAAGTAAAATCTAAATTATTTTACAAAAGTACGTAAGGAACGTTAACAGTTTAGGAACAGCTAAAGTCGGACAGCATCGAATGTCGGACAGTCTTCTCTTTCAGAATAAAATCGTTACTAAATTTAGTGTCATGTGTATTTTTCTTTCAGTATCTCCATCTAAAGGATGTTATTGGTTGTTTCATACATATATAGTCGTGAAAACGTTTGAAATAATGTCTAAAATCTGATTGATCCATACGCGTCTCACGGATCCGGATAAAATTCGCATGCGCACCGAGCGCGCGCCTGTCAACAGTGACCTAGTTATCCTTGGCGAAATCTTCAGTTTGTCGTCGGTACTCCGTGATTGACAGTGTATTTTGTAATTAAATCATACTTTTACATGATTAATATTAATTATTTCCATGATAATAATTTTTTGGTGGATATTTATTTATAAAACCATTAAAATTAAACTGTCCGACTTTACATTCTCGGTCATTTAAAGTCGGACAGAGGAGAATTTAAAGTCGGACAGCACATTATATTGAATAAATTGTATTTTAATTGTCATATTTTTAAATACTGGAACAATTTATCATAATATCATGATACTTTGTGCAGCCATGCTCCAATACGATTTAACACCTAAAAAATGAAGTAAATTGGACTTTAAATGCCGAAACCAGTATGTGTCCGACTTTAAATTCTACATGTCCGACTTTCACTGTCACTGTCCGACTTTATCAGCCTTTGCTTTTCCGTGTTTGGTTTTGATTTATAGCATTACAAAGCTTTTAACCAATGAAAATTAAGAATAGAAAGAGGGTAAAAACATCATTTTATGTGACGTAGAACTTTCCGGTTATGTGTTAAGAGTTTGGAGCGTGTACCGAAGGTGCATACGAGAAGGTCCGAAAAACCGTCCGACTTTCGCTGTTCCTCCCTACGGGATGGCATGCGTGAAGGAAGACCACCATTCCGAGATTACAGTGCTGTAAAAATTGAATTTTGTAACGTGACATTGCGGTATTTCCTTAAATAAAGTCTTTTTTCGCGGACAAAGGCTTGATGATTTGCAGGATTTGAAGTGTTAAATATCATTTTACATATGAAATCTTAATAGTTTGTATACATCTTTGATGACTGCTTAAAGCTACATCAGAAATGTATTGAATTAAACGGTGACTGTGTTGAGAAACGTTCTAACATGTATTAAGCTTTTGACGTCGGGTAACGTCAAGGATTTTTGTTTTAGTGCTCCGGGTATGAGTGTGTGTCTTTTTTGTATCTAATAAAAACATATATATTTGTACTTTGGTTTTGTTTAAAATTTGCATGATATAAATGAAAAATTAATTTAATGAAAATGATAGGTTCATATAATATATCAATGTTTGTCAGTAATTATCAATGTTGTCCAAGAACTTTACGGACAACCCTCCTATATGTAGACATTTAAAAGTTTGTATTTTTATTCTTTTGATGACTGTTTAAGGTTTCGTCAAAGATCAACATGTCAAAAAAATTATTTTTACAATAGCCGCAAAACTATGTGAGGTATAAAGTTAAAACTTTTACAGTTTATAAATTTTTCCTTGATAAACAGATAGAAAGTATCTCTTGATAAAAAAAAAAAAATTTGGAATAATATTAATTGAGAAAAATTATTCTTAAAAATGCATATATTATATTAAAAAAAATACACCTAATTAATTCCGTGCTCTTAGTGAAAGCCATCATTGCAGAAACAATATATGTTTATCAATGAAGGGCAAGTTGGACTTGGATAGCCTCTGGAAAGTTGTTTTCCCTGTTTATCTTGTCCAAATGTTAAGATTTGAAAGTGAAAGTACATTGCAAATGGCGGATTCTATAGGGGTCTTGTCTTTATACATGCCATACTTTCAATAACAGTCTTTCAGAGACCGTTCAAGCCCAACTTGCCCTTCAATGATCAACATATATTATTTCTACAGTGTTGGTTTTCACAAAAAGGACAGAATTAAGCAGGTGTATTTTTTTTTAAATATGCACATTTTCTGATATAATTTTTCTCAAAAAATATCTTTTTTAAAATATTGTTATCAAGTTATACTTTCTATCTATTAATCGATGATATATTTATAAACTGTAAATGTTTTGACTTTATACCACACATAGTTTTGGAGCTATTGTAAAAATAATTTTTAGACATGTTGACCTTTGACGCAACCTTAACGAGGAAAACAAACAGTATTCAAAGTCAAAATTCCATTGAAACAATAACAATAAAAAAATCGGGAACCTCTTAAAATAACAGAGATGGGATCAGATGGCATGGTTGAGTAAGCATTCCTGCCGATCGGCCATACCTGCGATTGATTATTCTACAGAAAATTGAATATCGGCGCATTAACAACATCTTTTTTCACATGACATAAAAAAATAATTTTTGGATTTGAACAAGTGTTTTGGATAATTTTTTTCATTAATTTGTTTAAAGGCACTTCAACCTAAAATACAGCGGCATTCAAGATTTTCCCAATGAATTACTATTACATATAAGCTAAACACCTTGCTTTTCTTTTGATACAATTCCATCTACCAGCGCATAGTGGTTTGTGTTTTTCTAAATTTACATGATAACCGTGTTAAGAGCCATTCTCTGTAATGATTTGAAATTTTACATAAAAGCTGTGGCACGCATAGTCTCAGAATTTCTCGAAACTCTCTATGATAAAAGTCATTGATACCCTAAACTGAAATCAGGCAAAAATTGGTTGCTATGTTTTACAGTTACCATGGCAACGTGTTTTAAAGTTCGAAAAATGGCATTTTTTAACATGTTTAGAGCTCCATAGTTAACATTTGCGGCAAAGCAAACAATTGACAATGACTGTTTCCAAAAGTTAAAGGTCAGATGTCTCAAATGCATGATAAACATGTTTCGTAAATCAACTATTACATATGTTACTATGGTAACAAAGTATTCAAAAGTAAAAAAAAATATTCATTGAAATTTATCAAGTCATACACGTTAAAAAAAAACGCAATTATAGGATGAAATGTGACCAAATAATGGAAAAAAGAGCCTTGAAACATGTACCAAGAACAAAATATGATATTTCATTTTGGTTGGCAATGGTTGCCAAGGTTTTTATACCACAGACAGCCTTCAAAGTAACACTCTGTATGTTTAAATCTGATCCTATCTTTTAAAAAAGCACATTTCCTCATAACTGATGATCAATTTTTAAAGATGTTGGTGTGCTCCTAGTTTTCCCATTTGAAACAATTCTGATTAGATTCTTTAAATAGAGCGTTGCTATGGAAATAAGCAGAAAATATATGCTTAAAAACCTGAAAAATATTTTCTTTCCTTGGATACGTACCCTTACATGTAGATTCCCAAAACTTTTATGATTGATATTTATTAAAAGCTAACCTGACTTTCAATTTTGACTATCATCCAATCTCTAAGTGCATGCAAGAAGTTGGCACACATGGTTTAATATAGATATAAAGTTCACAAAATCGAACACTTTCCCTTCTTGGTAACCATAGCAACAGTGTTGTTTTCTTCATCAAATTTTATCAATATATGATATTCAACTTCAGTTCTAACAGATAAGTACTATTCAAGCTGAGTCCTTTTATTTGTTTCTTGATTATATGGCAATTTAATTCTTCATGCAGCGAAAAATAATTCACTTTTAAGTACTGGTACTTTGTTTCCATGGTAACATTTCAAAGTAGCAATTATACCCAATTTTTCTTATGGTTTTGGTGTTGCAAGGTCCTAAGGATGCATATTTGCCAGTCTTGAATTTTCATGTTTTTCCTCAAGACAGTAGCATTAACCCAATCTTAGTTACTGGTTTTGCATGGTTACACTGTGTTACCATGGCAACCATAAAAATTATTCATAGAATAATATTGCTTATACTTATATACTTAAGGTCAAACATTTTCATTGTTTTTCTTAAGTCTTTGATTGAGTTTGAGCATGTAACACCTACCATTAGTGAATACGGAGTGTTTTTCAGCATATTTCAGCATTTTAAATGCATTCCAAATGTACTCTTGGTTACCACCTACTTAGAGATATATTCTAAACAGTTTATTTTTTTTGTGAGAATGGTTTGTTTGCTTTTTCTAGTTTTTATTAAGCCACAGTCAAGATTTAAAGTGGCTGAAAATCTCAATTTTTCAAACTTTTCCGGCTGTTGCCATAGCAACCGAGACACTTAGCAACGAAATTTTGTTTGATATTTGTTTCTGGTGTCAAGTACTAAGCATGGGTGAAGTTTCATCAAAATCGGTGACCATGCGTGGCAACGAAGTTTAAGTGGTTACAGAGAATGGCTATTAAATATTTCTCGCACTCAAAATGAATTTTATAAATTCTATAATTTTAACTTTTTGGGGATTCTTGAAGTTTAATAATCCACTTTTGAATGTATATTGATCTTCTAGTCGTTGCTTGTATGTAGTAGTTATTCATTTTACATTATAGAAATATTGCTTGTACAATACAGTTGATAAACCACATCTGTCAAAACTAATACGTATAAAGGAAATCCAGTTTGTCATTTCTTGTTTACGTGACTACACATATACAATTCTACATATTTTGTTTTCTTTTCTATATACAGGATGTGTAAACGCTTCCTAGTTTGCAAGTTATCTCTGATTTACTGCAATAAACTAAAAATAAACACATTTTTCGAAAGAAGGAACTCAAAGCGACAAAAACTACACATGACTGCTAATATGGCTATCCTAAGGTTATTTTCGGAATACTGGGAACTTAGCAATAAAATTGAATATAGATTATTTTGTAATCGCACCGATATCTTAGGTTTCCTGGATCGATAACTCCATTTCCTATCCTAAGAAAATGGAAGATTAAAAGGGAAATATCTATTTATATTGACAGGACGCAAAATATTATTGTGTTTCATTTTCCTTGTTTTTTTTGAAGCACGCTAAATATATTTTCAAAATCTGTACAGTATTTGCTTTTGAAATAAATTTCAGGAATGGGACAGAATTTTTTTATAAATGAAATTTATGGAAATAACAAACAGCATTCAAGCTCAAAAGTCCTTAAAACAATTCAAAATAAGAGCAAAGCAAACACGGACCTCCAAAACATCAGAGTTGGGGTCAGGTGCCATGGAGGAGTGATCATCTCCTGCCGACCGGGCACACCCGCCGTATGCTCCTTGATCGGGAAATAATGGGAAAATCCGTTCTCAATTCAGTGTGTAAATAATGGACTAACAGTTGGTATGAAAAACGCCAGTCAGCATTTGACTCAATGATAAATTGTATTTGCTGACAATGTCTTTTTACCGACCATAGAACTTACGAAATGATGAGTTTAAACGAGACTGCTGATATCGTTGTTTCATAATTTATTTTGTCAATAACGTTAACTTACCTCGTTTTAGAAATGGTTCATACATGTACGTAGAGCATGATCTTGCGTATCGAATCAACTGAGAGATATAAACTTCGTATGCAGGTGATGAGAGATTATTGTTGCTTAAAGTAAAATATCCAAATATGAAACAAATTTGTCATACTCTGTAGTATCTTTTATTTCAAGCTCACCGGGATATATCGTATCAATATAAATTACCATTGTTAATTGACAATACATGTACGTCGTCGATATATCTAAAGGTCACAGCAAGTGGTTTTCTTTTTAGTTATAACATTTTAGACAAATTATGCTTCAAATGAATACAAAAATAGGTTTGATAATAAGGGGACACAATTGGTACCTTTGGAAAAATTCAATATATTGATGGAAGACCCTTTAAATTAAAATTATAAAAATGTCTCTCGAGTTTAAGGCAGCAATTAAGGCAGTCAGGGGAAAATTTTTACAGCACATCCTCCCTTCTAATATTCTTTCACACTGTGTCAAAATTTCACTTTGAAATTCTTTCACATTTTGACAAAATATCGCTTTCATTAATTAAACAACCTATAGAAATTCAACAGAATGTTAAACATGACTAAGAAGTAAATGTACTGTTTATATAAGTATATGTTTCCCCTAAGATATGGTAAACTTCATTCATTCCTCATGACTTAAGAATTCTAATGAAGAAAATTGATAAAGTGTAGAACAAACACAAAATTGGAATTGAGGGAATTTATATTTTACTATTACACAATATAGGTGGAATTTTAAACATTTTTGCTATTTATATCAAGCCATTGGAGTGTTTAAACAAAGTTTGGAATAATAGGACAGACCAAAATTTCTAATAAAAGTATATTTAATAAATGGCTCTTTTGTAAAACCAACACATTCATATTCAGGCAAAAGGAAATTCTATCAATAGAGAGAGAGAGAGAGAGAGAGAGAGCGAGAGCGAGAGAGAGAGAGAGAGAGAGAGAGAGAGAGAGAGAGAGAGAGAGAGAGGAGCAGTTCTATCTGTTCACGTAATAATTAGTTTTCCAAAAATCCATTTTTGTTTGATGGGAAATAACCACAGGCAACCTATTTGCAATATCACTATTACGCTCATTCAACTAATCAGTGAATTTAGTTTAAACTCTGATTTTGTGAAATCGACAATATTAAAATACTTGACCTTGTAAACTTGTCACGTATAATTCAGGATGGAAATCTAAACTAAGCATAATAATGAGTTACAGGTCACGTGCTCTTTATATCAGTCATTGTATCTACTTCCTCGTAAAAATAACCTTAGTTAATGACTGGTTTTGTCACTCTCCAATTTGCTTACATAAAAAATGAAAAATGGTGTAATTCTTAATTCCTTTTATTGGTTAAACATTTTTAACAATTTTTAAGTAACACACACACACACACACACACACCCTCACACACACACACACACACACACACACACACACACACACACACACACACACATAAACATGTCTGTTAAACAGTTGTGGAGAAATTATACATTTTATCAATACAATGGAGTTTCCAAATGTTCTGATGAAAGTTAAGAAAACATCAAATGCAAACAAACAGTAAACATAATTAATAATGTTAGACAATTATTTTCCTAGGTGCATCTTTAAATTAAATACCTATGTTTTGTTTTAAAGCAATAGCTAGTTAGATGATTTATCATGCACTAACAGAAGACCTTTAATATAGGCAGTGATTGTTCCTTAACAAAACAGCATTGAGAGAGAAAGAGAGAGAGAGAGGGGGGGGGGTCACTGCTCGTGTGTTTTGGTCCTGTGTCAAGATTGGCTTCAATAAAGATCCTTATTGATCACTTTTTCGGAGTTCCTATGATATATGCAGCCCTTCACCAGTAAATGAAGGCATGTCAATTCATTTCAATTCAATTTCACATTGTTTAAAACACCATAGTACAACGACAATATCAAACAAAATACACGAGTGTACAGTTTACATTCACCTGGAAGGATAACTCTCTTATTATCTATATTGATGAATTAACAAAGTTTATTAATGATAAAAATACCTTTGAAAATAAAATTTAATTTGTAAATTTAAAAGCACACGGTCGACTTCATTATGTTGAATGAGAAAATAATTTCAATGGAAATATATATATATATATATATATATATATATATATATATATATATATATATATATATATATATATATATATATATATATATATATATATATATATATATATATATATCGATCACTGTATCAATACAACATATACAGTGTTATATTTTTTTTTTCAATTGCAACTTTCATCTTCAATCGATATAAAGCATACTAGTATTCATAAATATTTCTTGTTTCTGTATTTTTCTTGTATGAATCTCACAAACGCAATGAATTAAATGGATATACTAGATAAAATCACAGACTTAACTACTTAATGAATGGCCAATTTGAAAGTTTTTTTTGTCTTCAACTGTTCAAGTTATAAAATATTTTATTCATAAATCTTTTTTTGTATTGACGAGTTAGAATTGCTTTTAACGTCGAAAGGAATAAATATGTAAATTAACTTTTAACAAAAAAAAAAAAAAAAAAAAAAAAACGGGTTAAAATAAACACGCAGCTCAACACGTTTTAACATGATATGTATGCTTTATCATTTTTTTTTCAAAAAACAGACTAACATTTTATTGAGATCAATTTATATTCCTGAGTGAAAAATAATTCTTGTGAACAATGGAGTGTGTAATGGAGTGTGTAAGTATTTCTTTTCATTTTTTAAGCAAAAAATGAAATTTGCTTTATTCAAAAAATGAAAAAAACGTTTGAAAATAACCAAAAATATTAAATCATTTAGCAAATCTATAAAAACAAGGAGGTTATAAATTCAACATTTCCCATTTTCGTTTCACCGAACTTCAAAAATATACATCACAATTCAAATTATTATCATTACTATCCAATAAAAGATTTAAGTTTATAAACAAAATAGGAAGGGAAAAAATTATTTTTTTTTCCATGCATGTTTTATTGCACACATAAAATTTGTATGTCTTTGACGCTGAAGTACGTTTAAAATGCAATGAAAAAAAAAAAACAAATCTGATTGACTTGGTTATTTGAGTTTTTTTATGTTTTCAATAACGTAAAATTTATTTTACATTTGAGATTATTTTTCATTTAATTAGAGTTTTCTATTCGGTAATAAATTGTGAAAATAAAATTTACTAATTATCAACAGGTAAGTATTACAAGGTAACTTTAAAACTACAGTTTGACTTAATCTAATTCAATTTATAGATTCCGAAATAATTTAACATCGATGTCTTATCAATAAGTGTTCTTACATTTGCTTGAATATACACTTCAACCTTATGATGTTTTTTAAACTCAAAAACTCCGTGGAGCGATACTAAAGTACTTTTCCTATTTTCATCGTTTTTGAATTTCTTGCTTAAAAGAATATCAGGTCCTAGTGTTCTAGTACTTTTATTAACTCGTAAAATGACGTGAAAATTCCTACTCTCTCGTCGCTGATCTTGTGGAACGTTTAGTGCTAAATAAACATAGTATTTTCCATTTTCCTTAATCAGTAGTTGTTTGTTATCCTCCAAAAGTAAGTCTGAGATAAAAGCAGTGCCAAAACGATCCGTATCCTTCCACTGTATCACTCCGCCTATAAAAAAAGTGATAGGTGAAATCAGGCATGCAACAGTCTTTAAGTGGGAGAGCGAGTCAGAAAGAAATGACAGCTTATCTGAGCATTTAAGAAGCAAATTATATAAAAAAAAATATATATCAAAGACAAAGGATATATTTTTTAAAATTGACCTTATTCTAATATCTAGGGGCAGGGTGATTAAATTTGAATTTTTCGATACTTTTAATGCATATTTCATAAAAAAAAACTTGTAATATAAAAGTCAAAAGATAAAAAAGGGTTCTCTGATACTGCGTACCTTCAAACAATGCAGTCTATGATTTTGTTGGTATACAGAATGTGTTTATGCATTCTTCTTAAACTTCACTTGGTGAAATAGAGGATTATAAGAAGGTATATACTTTAAATGATATCTATTAACTTTATTCTCTTTAATCTTGACTTGTATAAAAAAGTTAATTTAAAAAAAGTAAGAATTTAACTCCTACGTGTAAACAAACTCGAAAATAACGACTTTTGTCGGGTTTATTTGAGTACAATGAATGTTTAACCATACCGATTTTAATTTGTCAAGTTTCAGAATAAAGGGAGTAATTTTTTTTTTTAAATTGTATAGATTATCAAGAATTGTTGTAGAAAAGATTTTGAACACCGTAGAAAGTTTAGAATTTCTTAGTGTTTTAGAAATTGATCAGATAAATCATTTACAATCTAAATAGGTTTTAATAAAAATATCAATTCAGGCATCGATTTTATTGTTTGTATCAACTGTCCTTAAATCAACGATTTATCAACTTCTTCTAAAAAAAAAAGCAAAGAGAAAAAAAGTTGTGTTGATCACAACAATTTTAGATTATCTGACATGCCTATCATGTTTGAATATTTATATTGACCTCTTTTGAAGCAAATAAAGGATTAGGCTCCAGTTTAAATTAATTTCTTAAAAAATTCTTATGTTTTGTTTAAAATTCTTATCACCCGGTGAATAGTCACTTGTGGTATGTGCCAGTATGAATATTTACCCCACCTCTATCAATTTTTCCGTGAAATCCTTGCTTACGATTGGTTGAAGTCTGTCACGTGAAGGCGGTGGATTACTTATACCCGGTCAGTTGTAAATCTATACCCGGTCAGTTGTAATCTATACTCGGTCGATGTATTACGTCACAAACACAAACGTGACGTCATAATAGGCACAGTATAAGCGTGATGAAGCATTTAGCAGAGAAAAACATTTATAAAGTATAGATAAAACGTAAATGTTTCATCGGTGGGGTAAATTCGTTACACAGTCTTTTAGTGACAGGGTATGGGATGATACCTGGTTAGTAAATTTCATACCTGACTCGGCGCCGCCTCGCCAGGTATGAAATTTACTAGCCAGGTATCATCCCATACCCCGTCACTAAAAGACTATGTAACTAATATTATTTCTAATATAGTGTTGCACACGCACATTTCACCCCTTCCCAACATTAGTTAATTTAAGGATTAGTGGTATTAGCTAGTAGGTATGTTTTGAAAACGACTTGTATTTTTGTTAAATTAAATTTAGCTGATTTACCTTTTGAGATTGGGTTACTACCATCTATGTATAAATGAGCTGCATTTTTTCGACGTCTCCAAAATTCGAAATATTTTTTGACCGTTGAAGTAATATTTTCTGACATGTCTGAAAAAAGTAAATATATATATATATATATATATATATATATATATATATATATATATATATATATATATATATATATATATATATATATATATATATATATATATATTAGCAAAATAATACAAACAAAATTAATTCTTTTTACTCTGAAATTTTTTCAATTTTATTTTTAAAAAAGGAGCGTAAAGGAAGAGAAAAAAAATATTTCAAACCATTTCTTTCTTTGGCTCCAGCACTAGCCTGACAATAAACATAAAGAAACATATCATTAGATATCAGTCAAGTGTGGTTATAACAGTAAATACAAATATACATTGTACATGCATGTATAAGAAAAAAATCCATCATCTTGCACACATACCTCCGTTAAGAAATCTCGCAGCACATCATCCTTAACGCAGCAAAGGCGGTGTCCGCAGTCCGTGGTCACAATATCAGTGTACAGTGTCTCATTGACCGTCACCCACCTCCCAAGGTCATCACAGGACATACAGAAACTGTTCTCCTTAAAATCCGTCGTGGACAGCGAGTTCACGCGTGGCAGTTTGTCCCGCTCGTTGAGCATCCCAGGATACAGAAAAACATACAAACCGCCAAACGTCAGTCCCAATAATACGTTAAAAACCAAAGAAACCGTCAGAGTCTTCGGAATTGACCCTTCCATGACAACAGTGTGATGTGCACTATCGACAGACCATCGTTTTTAATGATGAATGGAGTGGCCTTTCCCGAAAATATGTTGACTAAAAAAAGCGGAAGTGAAATTTCTCTCTTCCTAGATGAATTTCACGAACTTCTTATCACCTTTCCGTTCGTTTTATATGCCCATTTGATAATCTTCACATCCGCCATACTTGGAAACTGTTGGAACTACGTTCCATGCTGACATAGCTAGTCTTTTAGTCTATTGAACAAATAAGGAAACTCCGAGTGTGCACTTTTTGCATATTGTGTATAATATCCCCGTATTACTTCGTAGCTGTGTGTATCGCAGCTGTGTTTCTATTTTTACCGTGTTTTCTCAAAATATGTACAGGAATATTTTATAAAATTAAAATACGAGCATAGCAGAATTTAACGAACTAAAAAAAAAACATTCCAGAAATAATATATTGTGATTTGTATTAAAATTAAGAAATTTCAATGGCATAAAAACTTTTTCATTTTTTTATTTTTGCATATAATTAAAGCAATATGAGCTCCAACATTAATGTCAAAATTTTCTGTTGAAAAATTGTAATTAACTATTTCAATTAAGTACAGAGAAAAAGAACATTTAACTTCTATTGTAGTCGCCCGCGAGGCGCAGTTGTCATAGCGTATGCTCTAGAGTCGCGAAGTATGTCGCGGGTTCGAATCAAATGGGACGTGGAGACCGGTCCTTCGGATGAGACCATATATAGACTGAGGTCCCTTGTCGCAGTAGGTTCTGGCATGAAAAAGATCCCTCGCTGCTCAATGACCCTTAGTGCAGCTCTCCACCAGCAAATGGTGCCGTCTCTGTATGAGTGAAAAATTCTCGAGAGGGACGTTAAACATTGTTCAATCAATCAATGTATATTTGTAATAGAACTACTTACAAGCCCTTAATGATGCAATTGTCGTCCTATGGAATATTTTTTCTTAAATATAATTAATATAAAATTAATATTTGATTGTGTAGAGGTCTTTTGAAACAATTTCATACTTTATTTTAATCGAACTGATCATGAGGTTGAAATAACCTACAAATTTATCATAATTACACATTTAGATAGCAAAAAAAAAAAAAAAATCTAAAAAATGCAGCTCATATTGCTTTTAATTTCAATACAGTGCAAGAAATGAACACTATTGAAAAAATATTTTTAAACACCTAATCTAATTTTTTTTTCTAAGGTTGGAATATCTTAAAATGTTCCATCATTTCAAGAAAAAAATTCCTTGCACTAAATAAATATCAAAATGGCTACTTAGACTGTTATTGTTTTGTAAAACAGTCTTTCAAGATTTGTATGTACGCGAAGAAAGATTTTTGATTTACCATATAAACAAATACATTTAATTTAAATCCCAAATGACGAAATAACTGCATGCTAAAAAAAAAAGAATGGTCGATATAAAATATTTCATGATATATAACGAGTTACAAATAAAATTTGACAAAGAACCTGTCTGTGTAAATTCAGTTAAAACATGTCTAACAATAATTTTTTCAGCATATTTGTTATTGATTAAATATATCTCTAAGAATATCTTTCTCTAAATGAAACATAAATAGAGATAATGAATAGTATTCAAGCTTTCAAGTCCATCAAACATGTACCGTCAATAAAAATGATACAGTGAAAACTGTTTATACCGACACCTGTGCATTCCATCACACTGTGTATTGTGACATTAAATTTCCAATTTTACTATTTTTCATATCTTTTTCACTGTGCAATCCAACATCCTGTCTATTCCAACACAAAATTTGTCTCCCAGTGCATTTCCGATTAGACAAGTTTCACTGTACATGAATGCTGAAAGGGAAAAAATACAAAATGAATACAATACATGCATTTTTCACATTCAAAAACATTTTGATCTCTCTCTCTCTCTCTCTCTCTCTCTCTCTCTCTCTCTCTCTCTGTGTGTGTGTGTGTGTGTGAGGGTGTGTGTGTGTGTATAAATTTAAAAATCGTAAATTTCCTGCATACTTTGATTTTTTAAATGAACAATTCGATATCGGATTTATAAATGCTCTTTGTTGATGGTTCCAGAAATATGTACCAATTTAATGTCCTTTCTTTTAATTGGATATTGGAAAAAGAAACATTTATTGATTAAACTAACAATGATTTGATCTTCAATGGCATTTTCACTAAATGTTTATCCATACAGTTAGTAGAGATTGAATCAATTTTCTTAGTTATATCGAAATAATCGATTAAGTATTTAATGAAAATAAATATCATCACCGATCTTTGATGCTGATAATTTTAATTGGCCACCAATTGTGTTTAAAGACTAATGTTTTGGGAAAACAACAATTGGTGTATTCTGAATAAAATAAAAAGAAAAAAAAACTGTTAATGAATAATTTTAATACGGCTAATTCAATACTGAAATGTAATTCACGATATGTACATTAATTTCTGGAGAGAACAAATTATAATTCCTCGTGTCTGCTGTTCAGTCCATTACATTTTGAAACAAGTAAATATTTTTAAAATAGTATTCAATGGATAACCTTTTTCTTTTTTCTGCTGTCTTACTGGAAACATTCTTGGGATCCAATGGAGGTAATTTTTAAATCTTTAATAGTAAAAATTTATGATCAATTATTATTTTCATCAGAAAGTACAAGGAAATTTTATTTTCAGTTGTTTTTTTTCCCGATTTCCATATCTATTATAACAGGGCGCTTACGTAAATCAAAGTATACCCATTATCAAATTTAGATGCCATATGTGTCAATGTTTTAAAGTCTTTCTGGTGGTAAAACTGACCAATCAAAATTCAAAATACGCAAAAAGGTTCCCTTGTAACTAGTTCTGCGTTTATAGAATATCTCTCAATAATTGTATATATGTACTATTCGTGTATATTTACAGTTATAAGCGGTTATATCGGATGTTTTGAGGATAATTCTGCCAGGCTTTTGAAAGGCCCAGAGATTAAAAACCAGGAATTCATGTCGAATGCCCTGTGTATTAAAGAATGTTATTCTCTAGGGTACCCATATTCAGGAACTGAGGTAAATGTACGAGGGTTGTCAGGTAAACTCGAGGACAAAGCGTTTTTCTCGTAAAATAAAAGGCGCATTATGCTGAAATTGTCAGCAGACGTTTATTCATCATATTTATCGGAATTTCATAATTATTATGGATTCTGTTGAAAATTACGCCAGAAGATGGGTCGGATATGAAAAAGAAAACGTTGGCACTTCGTCAGAATGGATTAAATGTATCAGATCCATGTTAAAGTCGCGTATTAAAAGATTGAGGGGCAATATGAAAACCATCTATCCTTCTGTGTTCAATAATCCAGAAGTGAAAAAAGAATTAGACAGATTACATACATGATCAGTACGTACTGGTTCCTGCCGAAAAAGCAGATAACAACATTGTCTTCGTTTGTAAGGCTTATTATATAAATCGTATTTTAGAAGAACTTGGATTTAATTCTACAAGTGGTAATCCTACTTATACTAATACTTGCATTTCTAAGGAAGAAATTCTCCAAAATCATATGTCAGTTTTAAATATTTTTGATAATATTCCATAGAGCCAAAAAGAATTTGAACCACCCTGTATATATATATTGGTTTTCGAAACTTCATAAGAATCCTTACAAACAAAGATACATTGCGGGTTCCAGTAAATGTTCAAGCAAGCCTCTTTCGATACTCCTCACTAAGATATTGACAGTAATGAAGGAAAACTTCAAGAGTACTGTGCAACAATATATTCAAGAAGTGGTGTAAATCAGATGTGAATACTTAAAAATTCCAAAGAACTTTTGGAGAATTTGAAATCACAAGATTTTACAAAAATCAACAGCTTAAAAACTTACGACTTTTCAACTTTATACACAACCATTCCCCACGATAAATTGAAGTCCAGGTTTTTTGATATCATTGACAGCTGCTTTTTCAATAAAAATGGAACTCGTAAATATACTAACCTGGTCATTGGTAATTCACAAAATTATTTTGTTAAAACACATTCTGATTGCACACACAAGTATTCTGAAGTTGACATCAGAAAGATGATTGAGTTTCTAATTGACAATATCTATGTGGTTTTTGGAGACCAGGTCTTCCAACAATCTATTGGAATTCCCATGTGTACCAATTGCGCTCCGTTATTAGCAGACCTATTTTTGTATTCATATGAAGCAGAATTTGTGCAAAATCTAATGCATGAAAAGCAGAAAACACTTGCTGTGGCCTTCAAGTAGACATTTAGATATATCGACGACTTATTATCAATTAACTACGTCGATACGATATATCCTGGATGGAGAGCTTGAGACAAAAGATACCACAGAGTCTGACACATCTGTTTCATACTTGGATATTTTATTTGTGAAGGACGTTGGTGGTAATCTAACTACCAAGGTTTATGATAAACGTGATGACTTTAACTTTTCTATCGTCAACTTCCCTTACTTATGCAGCAATATACATTCATCACCTGCATACGGAGTGTATATATCTCAGCTGATTCGATACGCAAGAGCATGCTCTACGTATGAACAATTTCTAAAACGAGGTA